TTCCATTATTTCTTCTAGGTTTCAAAATACACCTGACACCATGTTTTAGTTAGAAAATATAAATAAAATTAGAAGCTTTAACATTTTAAGTTCAGAAGTTTATTCACAATTTAACTCAAGACTGAAACATAAACATGACTGATATTGTTTACCTCCAACTAACATATGATACATTTAAAATATGATAATATGTGAATATAACATTATAATACAGTAGCAACAACATTTGATTACAGTTAAAAAGACCTTGGTTATGTGTCAACAGGCCATATAAAATAGATTTTATATATTTACACATTAAAGACTAAACATTTGATATATTTGCACATAAAGACTAAAAAGTAGAAAATAATTATTAAAAAACTTTGGTAAAATACCACCTTTATAAACGAACCAAAAAGTAGAAAACAATTTTTAAAATGTGGAGAGAATAAATACTTCTAAGATTTAAAACGAAAACGTAGGGGTTCACGCAATAACTAAATATCAATTATTATTTTCACCTATTTAACTATTATTATCTGTTGCATGCACCCCACGTTTTTCGTTTCAATACTTACAAGTATTTATTCTCTCCACATGTTTATACATTATTTTCTACTTTTTGGTTCGTTTAAAACTCAGTATTTTACAAAAGTTTTTTTTATTTATAATAATATTTTACATATGAGTGCCATATCTAGAATAATTAAACCAATTTTCTATGTATTTAATAGGCCAACACGAATTTTGTAAAAATTGTTTTGAAGCTGCAACGCATCCAATCATCAAATTTAAGGTGTCTTTGGATAGGTCATGTTACTTAGATTTTCCATCTAACAAAACATTAGTTAAATTACATCAGGGCTCTGCCCAAGTGGCCTTCAAAGCTCCTATGTTATCATCATGGAGAAAATTAATGTTTGCATTTGAACACAAAATGAATACTTAGAAATTTACAATAATATTTTAAACAACTGATTATATTAAAGTGGAAACTAATGGAAACATACCTAAGGTCTTAGTACTGAGGGACCGAGCCATGGTTCGGAATGTTTTTTCAATAGTAAAAGCAATGTAAAGGAAACTTGCGTTTTCTCTATAAATAATTTCGGCTATTATTATTTATGTTTTAGTGTAATTTCAATTTACTACGATGGAAATTTCAACTTGGCAATCCAACACATTATTTATTTTAATTTTACACATTTCTAACGTTTTAAATAAATAAAAAATAAATAAATAAAGTAGTATTTTTTTTATATTAGTTCCTATAGTAGGAAATAATATGCTATCTCAGGATTAATACAGTAGAAATCAGCTACAATAGCATTAATACAGCATAGTAAAGCGTATGTAAGGGGTGTGATTTACTTCTTGGTACTAAATTAAATCTTTCTTTGAATATAAGTAAAAATTCTGCATGACCACACTCTCTAAGATACTATCATATAATAGATTAGCTGAAGACAGATATTACCATAAAGATTATTGTAATACAATTAACTTTAATACTAATTCAACTGAATACGGCTTTACAAATTATGTAATCTACAAAAGAGTGAATACAAATTGTAAAATCTACCCGTAATTAACAGTGAAACATTGTGTTGACGCCAGTGCACTAAAACGTCACCAATATGAAATAGTTTTCCCCAATGTCTAGTAATCTTTAGTTTAATCTTTGTAAATAGTTACAACTGATGTTCTCCTTTTGTACTGTAATTCGTAATTTGTTAGTTTCCTGTGGATGGTTTGTTGTAATCACATGTTTCAAGTATTTTTTTTTACATCTCCTTGTTCTTTTGTTCAACCAAAATAGTTACTTATCAACCCATAAAGCCATTGTTAAATTTTTAAATTTTCAAATTTTCTTTTTTTTATCACAATTCTTTTTTATCTGTTCATTTTTCGAACATTCAGCAAATACAATAACAACTATTAATAAAACGTTAGTTAGTCTCTGTCCATTGACAGATCTAACTTAAAAATATTTCAATGAAAAAATAAATAAGTAAATAAACAAGAGAAAATTAAATTGTTCAAACAAAACGTGAGCTTAGGTCCAAATCATGAATCCTTTCAGCCTGTATATGCTTTTACTTTTGTCCAAAAGGTTTAGAGCCAGGTGTGATTGGGGTGATTTTAAAGCCACTTTTGATATTTTGTACTAAATTTGGTTATTTCCTCTTCAACCGTCGGAATTCCACTGTCCTTGTGAAGGATCACGGGGCTTGCAGGATGAACCTTAAAACTTTTGACTGAAATCGTTGGATGATGTTTATGTTCGACATACTGGATGTTCCCCACAGTTGGATTCCATAAGTCCAAATTGGCTTCAGGATTACTTTGTATAGTAATAATTTATTTGCAATGGTCAATTTTGATTTACAATTTAGGAGCCAGGAAAGATTTTTAAATTTTAAATTTAGATACATTCTTTTGTTCCAGATGTGGTTTTTCCATGTTAATCTTTTGTCAATCGTCATCCCGAGATATTTTACTTCGTGGGATTGAGGAATTTGGACATTATTTAAGGTTACAGGAGGACAAGTACCTAATCTGGTAGTGAAGGTCACATGAATTGTGTAGCGAAATACAAATTTTCCTAAGGTAGTGGCATTCACCAATCATGTTTTTATGACTAAGTACCTAATTCCAAAATGTAGTAAACATTCTTCCGCTAGATTTCGATACATAAATTACAGACAGACTTAGCTTGTATTTTAGTATATGATAACGTTATTTTAATTTATTTATCTTTATCGACTTGTCACATTGTATATTTACTACATCAAATACTCCTTATTGATATTTTGAATAATAAGAATTGAAATACATATCATGAATTTAAACTTGAATATTTTATTATATTGACTAGTACTGGATAAGTGACACAGTTAAATTTTTGTAAGCTACCAGAACAAGCCAATCAGAAGAGTACATCAGATACAGCTGTTTAGCTAATTATATGAGTGCGTCAGTTACAGCTGTTTGGCTGAGTAACACAAGATGGAAGTCAATATCTAGAGCTAACTTTTCCTTATCAACCAAATACAACATTAATTTTAATTTTCTAAAAAAAATAAGGATAATACAGTATGATAAAATTGTAGGTCATATTTTGGGCCAAAAATATTTTCCCTACGACCGTTTACAAAAAGCCTTTTCGATTCAGTTCTTAGCATGGAAAAGCTTCAATTTAACGCATGTATTTTTTTCTAACAGCACTATTAATGGACCAATGAGGCACAAGGATTGAGAGAAAAGTTGTAAAATTGTAATGATTCAATTTCCAACGTATCAGTGGATTACGAATAATTCAATTGTTGTGAACTCCCTCTCACCTGCACCCGGCACCCAAGTGAACCAAATTGGAATCACGACCCCCTTGGCAGAGGAATTGTCAGCTCACAGCCCTACCTAAACAACAAGAACAACCGTGGAGGAAGGGTTCAAGATCAATTTACCGTTTGAGAGGAACAAGCTGTAATCTATATATTTAATACGCGACATGAAACTTTGTGAACAATAAGGCTTTTTTGTTTTAAGATTTCACCCCACATATTATATACCAAAATGTTCGTCTAGGTGTGTAGATGTGCAAACTGGCTTTAGATTTTCGAAATATATCTTTTTAAGGGCGTGGGTTGCCCTCAAAGTTCTTTCCATAAGGATAACATTGTGATTGATTTGAATGTTATTACATTCTGAAAAAGATGTCAATACATTAGTTTTGTATAAAAAATAAATCCCAGCTGTTTTGTTTGGAATTGAAATGTAAACAGTTTGCATGTTTTTTTTAACTAATTAGAACCCGGCAAAGAAATGTTACCTAATAGGACACGTTGAGAGAAAAGTTTTACATTTTATTTTCAATTAAACATTCCAAGGACCTGACGACAAAGAAATATTGCCTACTATTTGAATTATGGTTGGCCTAAATATTACAATGAAATAGTAAAAATAAAACTGGACCAACACTGTGCTGCATTTCTTGATCAATCATTTAAAGAGCCAATTTGCAAACTATGGAAACATGGGAAAGTCATAGAACACCACCAAGTAGAAGAAATAGAAATAATGTGTTTTTTTATAATTAATAATCATTATTATGGACAACCTAATGCGGCTATGAGTGGGAAACATTTGTAGAAGACACTTAAAAACATGATCATCAGCTTTTGAAAAGTGATAAGATATTTACAAGAAATGTTGATTATATCGAACTGTTATGTACATCGTGAGTATTTCCATAATCTTTGAGGCGACTCTGTTAAAGTAATCAGAAATTAATTATGACTGTTTTTCATTTTTAAATAACGCCTGTAATACTTACCAATTGCTCGAATTCGAGCAACAGGTACACTAGTAAACATTTAATGTGATATTATTTATGGTGATGTGTGAATTCACTCGCCATTATTGCCTGCTGGGGCCCCGGAGGAGAACCGCCTGACCATTTCGAGCGTCGGCGGAGAGATATCACCCATCCTTACCACCATTTGGGCTCAGGGTGTCTGGTCCTCTCTTCGCCCAGCTTCAACACCCTCCTGTGCGACTGGCCTGTCAAACTATCCGTCTATCGCAAGCTATTTGTGCCCATTGTTTACTGCCCATTGTTATATTATTCGTTTGTCTATTCTTTTAATAATTTTTGCTGCTATATACTGAACAACTTTATTTAATTGTTATTAATTTAGTGTAAATTTCCTTGCAGAGTATTTAACTTATTAATGATTTATTGTTAATAAATCAATTGGGGGGGCCCCTAAAAGGTTAACTTTTACAAAGCTTAAATTTATTTAATAAAAATAACGTTTGTTGTTATTGCTTTAATTTAAGTAATTTGTTTTGAAGGAATTTTGAAAGTCAATTCTAGTAAATTTAATCTGAACTGAAATTTGTTATAACTAAAGTAATGGCTGTGAGCTATAAAGTACGATAGGTGAGAACAAAAAATTTTGAATTTATGAAAACTTTTGATTTGCATGTATTTTGTTGTTGTGATTAAAAGTTTATTACAGCTTGTTCCTCTCAAACGGTGCGTTGTTCTTGAGCATTTCCTCCAAGTTTTTTCTTGTTGTTATGTACAGCTGTGAGCCGCTCCTCGTCTCTGCACATGGTAGCTTCCAATGTGTTCGCCTAGGCGCAGGTGCGAGGGCGTGGTTCACAGTAGCTACAAAGAATCTGAATCTGTGTTATGTTTATAGTTTTTTATGAACTAATCATCTGTCTATGTGTAATATTTTATAAGAACAAGATAAAATCTAGTGTATTCAATTTATTCTCCATTTCAATTACAACTCAATTATTATTGATATTTACAAAATTAACAATCAGAACAAAACAAAAGTCTTTAACATCTGGAATGCAACCAACATTATAAAATCAAATGCTGCTTCTTGTACAATTAATATAAACATATATTACACTCGCCAACACTTAAAATTTGCTTGGCTCATATTACTTTAAAACTTTAAAATTTCTTCTGACTCTTGGCTTCTCCAACTTTATAGATCCAACTTCTCCGGCTTGTGCACAGTCCTCTGTGATCTCCTCAAAACTGTAGATGGACTGTATTGTACACCCCGTGGTTTCCCAACATCAGACTTCAATCTAGGCAAATAAGGTGAAGCATCATGTCTTGATATTGATGGTGATGTAGACTCCTGAAGAATAGGCAAATCTCTATTGAATTCTTGTTGATGTGCCTCAATAGTCCTTCCAACTTCCTCTTTCCGCACAATGATTTCGTCCTCCTCTACCTCAGTTGGCCTAAGATGGTCTGCATGGCAAACTCTTGTTTTGCCAAGAACACTAACCAAATAAGTAACTGGACTTTTACACTGTAATATACGACCTGGAACCCAACTAACTTTCTCCTGTCTGACTGTTTTAACCAACACCTTCTGATTTTCATTAAAAAATCTACACGCACCTCTATGCCTATCTGAGGCTCGTTTCTGCATTTCCTGCTTCTTCCTTGACTCGTCTAGTAGATTAGGTTTTAACATAGTCAATTTTGTTCGAGGTTTCCAACGTAAGAACAGTTCAGCCGGGCTCACACCGGTTACTGATGATGGAGTATTACGATATGCGAAAAGGGAAGTTATCCAATTTATACTGCAGTGATGTCTGCTGAGATGATTTTTCACCCAAAACTTGCCTTAACAAACTTTTCTTAACTTCTTGAACAGAACGCTCGGCTGCTCCATTGGAGGCAGGGTGATATGGTGGAGAAAATGTTAGTTTCACACCATTTTTTCTAAGAAACTCCCTGAATTCTAGACTGGTAAAAGACGTGCCGTTGTCACACACCAACTCCTCAGTAAGCAGAAAATAGTGTACGAAGTTTCTCAATGGTCTTCCCCGTGGAAATAGAACCCATTAAAAATACTTCCATCCACTTTGAAAAACTATCGACTACAATCAACATTTGCTGTCTGGTGGTTGGATCTTCAGCAAAATCGATATGAATTCGGCGCCATCTCTCGGAAGTTAACGGCCATTGCTGCAATGGAACTTTTGAAGCAGCATTTCTTGTACTTTGACAAATCAAACAAGATGACACAGCATCCTCAATTACCTTTTCGATCCCAGGCCATCACACGTGGCTACGTGCCAACAATTTCATTCGAGTAATTCCAGGATGTTGTTCATGCAATATCTGGATGACTTTACCTTGCAATTTCTTAGGTATGACTACTCTACTGCCCCATAAAATGCAATTTTTATCCACTGACAATTCATCTTTCCTTCTCTGAAATGGAATTAACATTGGGTCTACAATTTCACGCCACCCATACAACACAAAATCCCGAACTTTAGACAACAGTGGGTCTTTATCAGTCAATTGTCCTATCTCTAAAGAAGTGATTGGAGAATCATCACTCCCCGAATTGAAGAAGTTCATTTCTCTTACACAAGATTCCACATGAGATATATAATTTTCATCCAACTCCAAAGTTTCATTCTCGGGTAGTGGTAAGCGTGACAACGCATCAGCGTGGGGCAAACTGGAACCTTTCCGATATTTTACCTCAAAATTGTAGGCAGACAAAATCAGGGCCCATCGTTGTAGGCGAGCAGCAGCTAAACTAGGCACCCCTCGCTTCGATCCAAAAATAGCTGCTAGTGGCTGATGATCACTTTGTAAAATACAATTGGTACGCCCATAAATGTATTTATGGAATTTCTTCACTCCAAAGATCAGTGCCAACGCCTCCTTGTGGAGCTGTGAATAGTTCTTCTCACTGGCACTCAGTGTTTTTGATGCAAACGCTATAGGTCTTTCTTCTCCGTTTATTATATGGGACAAAATGGCAGAAACTCCTTTAGGACTAGCATCACAAGTGAGCACTAAAGGTTTCAAGACATCATAGTGTACTAAAACATCAGAACACAGAACCCAAGATTTACTTTCTTTGAATGTTTGAGAACATTGCTCGGTCCATTTCCATGGAACATCTTTCTTTAACAGTTCATAAAAACAATGAATTTTAGCAGACAAGTTTTGAATAAATTTTCCATAATAGTTTATTAAACCAACATAAGCCCTTAGCTCGTCTTTACTAGTAGGTTCGGGAGCTTTTTGAATAGCTTCAACAATACCTTGTTGTGGACTGACTCCTGATGCTGAAATGACGTAGCCTAAATATTCCACTTCAGGCTGTAAGAACTTGCATTTACTCCCATTAACTTGTACTCCAAATTCCATAAGACGCTGTAACAATTTCTCCAATCTATAAAAGGCTTCCTCTCTTGTTGAGCCGCCAACCAAAACATCATCTAAATAGGCTACAGTACCTGGTAATCCGTTTATAATTTGATCGATCACAGCTTGAAATATAGCTGGAGCTGAAGAAAGTCCAAATGGCAGACGTCTTAGTCGAAATAGTCCCTTGTGAGTTGTTAACGTCAACAGATGTTGTGAATCCTCCGCAACAGCTAATTGTTGATAAGCATTAGTGAGATCCACAACTGAAAAATATGTACAACCAGACAGAGAAGCAAATATATCCTCAGGTTGAGGTAATGGATAATGTTCCGTCTGTAGCACCGGATTCAATGTTACTTTGAAGTCTGCGCACAATCGGACACCATTAGTCTTGGGCACTGTAACTAACGGAGTAGCCCATTCTGAACTAGAAACTCTGTACGCTATACCATCCTCAACCCACCGATCTAATTCTTGTTCTACTTTTTCCCTTAACGAGTAAGGCACAGGCCTAAATTTGCAAAACTTAGGAACAGCATTGTCCTTGAGAGTGACTTGAGCCTTAACACCTTTTATTTCTCCTGGCCCCCCTTGGAACACTGCATTGTATTTTTTCTTTAACGCCTCTACTTCAGCCTCAAGTTTGCCATTAGGCAACACAACTTCACAATTAGATTGCTTCAATTCACATGTGGTAACATTCACTGTAGACTTAGATTTAGTACCAGTAGTATCATACGATCTTGAAAATACAGCATGCCAATCCAACTTTAATTTTGCTAACCAGTTCCTTCCAAGCAAAATAGGCTGGTCTTTACGACAAACCTCAACAATCAACAGTGGTAACACTAGGTTCTGGTTTTTATATAAAACTCTAACCTCAGCTTGACCTAGAACAGGCACGTCACCACCTGTGTAAGTTCGCAATTTCATAGAAACAGGCTTTAATTCAATATGAGAAAAATGTTCATTAAAAACGTCTGAAGGACAAACTGATACAGCTGACCCGCTGTCAATTTCCATCTCCACCAGAACCTTCTCTATAGTTAGCCTTACCTTGTAAGCTGCCATACCTGTGTTTAATCCAAAGTTGTACAAACACACATTATTTGAAACTTCATTGCAGCTTGAGCTAAGCTCATTGACATCATCTTCGGAGATTTGATGGACTCTATTAGCACCTGACTTGTCCTTCCTTCCAAATTTTGCAACTTTACTTTGGTTTCGGCAAGCTTTTAGTAGATGCCCAACCATGTTGCACCCATTGCACTTATAATTTGCATATGGACATTCATTGGCCCTATGTTCAACTGAACAACATCTGTAACACTTAAATTTAGCATTAATATTAGTCATACCAGCACCAATAGCTGAATTGAAATGACTACCAGTCTGCCTATTTTGATTCACATGTGAAGAATTGGGCTTGGAATTTAAATGACAAATTTCCTGTTTTGGATTGAACAAACTTGTCTGTTTTTCAGCCTGCTCTAATCTGAGTGCCAAACTATAAGCTTCATCAAATTCTTGATCCTCAGACAATAATTTTTGCCTTATGACCTCATTACTTATCCCTGAAATAAGCTTGTCTCTAAGAGCCTCTTTTAAGAATGTGCCAAATTTACATGAACTAGCTAAATGTTTAATCGCTACAACAAACTCGGAAATACTCTCACTAGGTTTTTGCACACGAGAATAAAAAGTGTATCTCTCAGCTACCACCAATTTCTTTGGAGAAAAATAGTTCTCAAGCACTTTAACTAACTCTTCATAACTTTTGCTATCTACAGCTGCAGGTGAAACTAAATCAGACAAAATTGTTAAAACTTTTGGGCCTACAACAGTTATTAAAACAGAAACTTTAGTATCGTCATCAATCTAATTAGCTTTGAAATAATGCTTAAGCCTCATTGCATATGATTCAATGGACTCATCTTGTGGGTTAAATTCACCAATCTTACCTATTCCTAACATCTTAGTCTTTAAAGTTTACCTCCCTTTTTTTTAAGTTTAGATTTATCTTCTTCAGAATCTGGTATAAAAAAAAAAAACTTTACTTTTACTAGACTTACTATCACTCGGAACGAGGTCCGTTTAATTTGACTGCGCCATTGTAATATTTTATAAGAACAAGATAAAATCTAGTGTATTCAATTTATTCTCCATTTCAATCACAACTCAATTATTATTGATATTTACAAAATTAACAATCAGAACAAAACAAAAGTCTTTAAAATCTGGAATGCAACCAACATTATAAAATCAAATGCTGCTTCTTGTACAATTAATATAAACATATATTACACTATGATATATATTTAAGGAAAGCCTTTAAACAATAATAACACTGTTATCTATAAAAAGACTATTCTGAGGCTATTAAAAACGGAAACAGTTTCGAAATAAAAAATCCTGACTCGAAAAGGTACTACATCGAGTTTACTGATGAATGGATTCAGTTATCAGTGACGATTATTCTCAGCCAATCCTCTGATTTGTCCTGATCTTGAAAACGTCGCATTGGTAATGCTACGACAAGAACAGACATAACCAATAAAATTGAATAAAATTAGAATGATTGTATACAATATAACACTGATCACAAATGTGGATAAGAGCTGAGTCAAGAACAGCAATGTTTTTCCTACCTATGCCTTCTACCGTCTTTACCCGTACTTTTAAGACTAACAAGATACACTTTACCTACATTTTTTCTACAGGGTGATTGATATAAGTGTGCCAGCCGTTTTATTCAAAAACTATAAGAGATATCAAAAAAAGTTAAATGGTAAGTGCCTTGGATTTTTTATTTTAAAAATTGTAGTCAAGTAAAAAAAAATATTTTAGCTGCCATTTTTTCCAATATGGCCGCCAACTTTGATTTTTCTTATAGAACACCCTGTATTTTATGATGTATTCTGGTAGAAAATGTAATTTTAAGACGATTTTATTCTTGTAATTTTTTTTCATAAACCTATCCGTTTCAGAGATAATAATGGTTAAAGTTTTGAAATTTCTGCATGAGAAAGAGTTTCGATAACTAAGCAAGCATGCCAGCTTTTTTATTCGAAAACCATTCAAAATTTCACAACTTAAACCATTATTATCTTTGAAACTGTTAGGTTTATGAAAAAAATTACAAGTATAAAATCGTCTTAGAACTACATTTTCTACCAGAATACATCATTAAATACAGGGTGTTCCATAAGGAAAATCAAAGTTGGCGGCCATATTGGAAAAATGGCGGCTAAAATAATTTTTTCGACTTTACTACAATTTTTAAAATAAAAAGTCCAAGGCGCTTACCATTTAACTTTTTTTGATATCTCTTATGGTTTTCGAATAAAATGGCTGGCACACTTATATCAATCACCCTGTATATACAATATACAAAACTTACACTCAAAGTAAATTACAAAAGTGACGCTTAAAATATCCAAAGTCTGCGTTCCATCAATACAAACCTTCTAAAAGATGTGACAAGGATTGTAATAAAAGATAATTTAAACATGGTAAATTCCAAGTAATGTTTAGAAGTTGTAAGCAGTAAGTTTTAGTAGTTTTGACATCATAAGATGTGGAATTGCCCCTGAACTGGTTTATAACTAATAAGAAACCTAGGTCGCAATCGACTTATTTTGAACTGGAGACTGAAGGTAATTAAACCATTATATTAGTAAGTTTTAGCTTAACTATATGACGTTTCTTACTTAATACCTTAGATTACTAACTGAATGGATTCATTCAAACAATAAGTCCAATCTTTTTAACCTTTTTTTTAACTTATTGGAACGAAAATGTATACGATTGGTAAAAAAAATTTTCCACATGACCTCGATTTACTACGTTGAAAATTTTAAAAATTTTCTTCATGTAGGTTAATTCATGTGTAATTTCTTTTTTCGTATGGTGCTTTCAAAAGTTCTGACTTTATTTTCTTGGTAGCTCAGTGCCTTTCGTTAACACTTTTAAATTTGAAGTTTGCGAGTTCGGTTTCAAGTAAAATCGTGACCAGACCCAGATGAAATTTGTCATAGGCTCTTCGTTAATGGTGAAATCCAACAAAAGGCTGTTTGATAGTAAATACACCAGAGTTATATCTATTCCTGTACAAAACCATTATAAGAAATGTCAATGTGCAGACAAATAAAATAATTCTTATCCTGCTGATTTCTTGTGTATCAAATGAAACAGTTCTAACCGAATAATTTATTCACTGGCTTGTAACGGGGCCACAGCTGCTAGTGATTAATCGAATCATTAGTGAATGACGCACACATTCCACGTGCGCGAATGACGCATTTAATAATTGGAAAATAATTATTTTGCCTAGTATAAGTTGGTGTGAATGTTAGTTCAATCGCATCGTCCCAACATGAAGCCCTTCCATTATGTTGTTGGGGTGTACGTGTTGGTAAGTCTTATCCATATTCTTTTATCCACTTTACCAATATGTTTTGTAATTTTCTTAGATTATTGCACAAGTTCAGGTATGGATTGTTAATGATATAGGGTAACATAATTTCTAGTTAGGATACGAATAAGGAAATTAGGAAAAAATTATATTTCTAATTTATTTTTCTATTAGGTAGTACTCAAATGAAAACATAAGGGACTGAGCCGCACCCTAACCTCCTAATGATTGAGGTTTATCAATATTAATAATAAATCTCACCTACAGAACATTTGTCCAACGATTTAAAAAATATACTGTCATTTAAAATAACAGTTATGAAAGGATATGATAGACGTTACGATAATTTTTACTGAAATTGTAAATGTTAGTCTGACATGTTTTGCATTAGTTAACAAACATTATAACATTATAAGTTATTTCATGTAATATTTGGTGTATTATGTCCATGTGATATGTAACTGTGAAGGTATGTTTTTTAGTTATATGGCTTGTATGAGGGGTTAGATTACTGTAATTGTATGATTAATTGATGTTGTAAAAGTTCGATTGATACATGTGATTTTTAGTTTTCATTCGTCTTATATGTATTATTATGGGTTATTCTACTTGTAGGAAATATTGTGTTGGATTGTGCATGTGTATATTTTGTGACGAACGACACGATCCCTGAACTATTCCATGTAGGATTTAAAGCGAATAATGTATGTTTCATCACTAGGGCCTAAAGTTGCTCTTTTCGACTCCAGATCAAGTTTAATGATCTAGGCGAAGCCGAGGAAGGAAACTCAGTGAGGATTGAAAAGACACGTGTTGCCCGTGTAATGCAACGTTAATTGAAAAAAACAATGTTACAAAACTAAATAGTTTAGATTAAATTTAATAAAAAAAAACTTCTTCTAACGGGTTTAAATTTAATTTGACAATAAAAACAAGCACCTGTTTAATAAGTGATTCAATCATTTCGACAATTGTGTTAATCTACATTATATCATCGATATGTCAAAGTATTAACAATAAGGCAACAATGAACTACAATCGATACATGTTTTCGTTATATGCGATCGTTTACAATAGAAATTTACAACTGAAATGACATCAGCAGGGTTTTACTCCCTAGGGGCTAAAAACAATTAGGGAGTAAAAAATACCCTTTTAGACCCGCAATGCATGAAACGGAAAAAACGTCTGTTTTTACTTCAGTTTGACGAAAAATAGTTTTTTTTCCTTTTGGAATTGATGATACTATAAACCGATGTAAGGTCAAAGCAGTGATTGTTTTTAAGAAATGCCTTTGTTTACGTGATGCGAAATTTAAGATTTTTCGTTGTTTAAAACCATTAAGACATTTTGTTACTAGCATACACATATTGCGAGTAATCTATTATTATCATTAATAGTAGTTGTTCTGTCCATGTTTCGCAACGGTAAAGAATACTTAGGTAGCCTTTGTTCTTCCTTTGATTCCTAAGAGAACCTTTATTGCTATGGAAAACAACGTAGAAATCTTCTGTAGAAAATAGTCACACAAACTTAACTTGGAATATACAGGCAAATTCAAATTGTACTAATTGCTTACTTTAACTAAAAACTCTTGTTTATTTACATTAAACTGTCAGGCAGAATCAAAACTAATACATTAACATTATTGTAATATAAAATTCAGCTTTGCCCTAGCACAAATGCAATGTATGATTAAAATTCATGTTTTAGCCCCTGAGTGGTAACGAAACTAAGAATTGGCTTTACTTTCGTAAATCCAGTTCAAATGGTGTAACTGCGTTGGTTACGGACGTTTCGGCATCACAATACCATCGTCAGACACAAAATCTCGGCTGAAGTATCATCGTTGAAGTCTAAACACATAATGCACACGAACGAAATTACGAAAAGAATTTACAAAAACGAGCAGAGCTGTCGTACAAACATTATCAGTTTAACTTTATACTCCTGGCTTGGGGTCCCTTTTTTATTCAAAGTGCTATTGAATATAAAATAAAATTTTTGCCGTTCTGTAGTTTGTGGTTTAAAATTATATCGTCCATATTAATTTTGGTGTAAGCTTTATAAATGATATACTATTCTAGGTTGACCGGACTTTTGCCTTTCTTTCTTTTGTGGATTATTTCTAAGCCAGCGTTCAGATCGCTCACATCGTGATTTTTGTCAACCAAGTTTTTGCAAAGGATTGTTTGTCAGTTTTTTTATTTATTTATTGACCAACGGCTGACGCCAATACATAAGAAGATTTAGATTATGATACAATTTAAAGAAAAACTAGTTTTGACAATATTTCAGGTTTTAAGTCACTATTTTCTCGACGCCTTTGACGAATGTCTGTCGCTGTTGATGTGTCAACAATGTACAATTGGCCATACACGGGGTCTTCAGGCAGCAAATCTGAGATTGAACGATAAATCTGTCCTTGAATTTTGAAACAGTATGGTCCTTTCCCTGGAATATCTTTCTTACTGGCTGAAAAATAAGCAAAAGCCATCGCACTGTTGCATTGTCGAATGAAGTTATACAGTTGTGGGCTCTCTTCAAACAAACTTTTAAGTACTACATTAGTTTTTGACTGAGGAAGGTTAATAAGTCCGTTATGGCAACATGTCATAAAATGATTATTCGTTAGTTCTTCTCTAAAATGAAGAGCACTACATTGAATGCACTCTTGGTCCAATAATCCTGCATCATGGATCTTTACATTTCTCTCGCCTACCATGGGTCTCCAAAAAAGGGGTTGTAACATATCTTGATTCAGTTCGTCATTATCTACTCTTGCTCTCCTACGCGCACTGTCATTCCTATGAACAGTTCCCCGCCTTTTTGGTATTCCCCTGGCGTTCATATTAATTACAGTACTTATAATGAAAAGAATATATATCCAGCAGCCTACATACCAAAACATCTTGAATCCCTGGTGATTTTATAAAAGTATGATCGAATATTATTACTCTACGTTGTATATTCACTGCACTAAAAAAATTTACTTACGAAGGAATGCAAATACACCATTTTAGAACCAACAACATTTATAGGTTATTTCAGTTGTATAAATTTACACAACCTTAACCTTAAAATGTGTAGAAATATAAAGAAAACAACATCATTTAAAATAAACTTGAACATATGATTTAAAAATAAAAACAAAACAGAAGTTAGATTTAATTTCGACTCTTTGATTATTTATACAGAATATTTATTCTATGTCGTTTATTCCTTTAACACGACAATAACGTAAAAGCATGAAAAAATGAAACTTGAGTATATGATTTAAATATAAACAAAGAATGCAGACGTTTTTCCGACTAATCTTCAATATTTCAGTTTTATTATAGTATACATTTCATAGTTGACTGGCTAAAAGTAAACCAAATGTGTGTATTGATCACTGTTTTAAAATCTGTGGCACAGCTGTTTTAATTTCAAAAGATGTAAACAAATTAAACCCCATGTTGTTTTAATGGGAAAAGTTTTATTCTGTTGCGAATTTATGGTAAAAAAATAAGAAAAATGAATAGTTTTCCCTCAACATTCACGTCAAGACCTTTAAAATAAGACCCCTCCCATCCTTCTACGATCCAGTCACTCACAATTTCTTTATAAAAATTTGACTTACGGAATTATATATATAGATAACAGGTGCAAAATGTGAAACGATTCAGAACAGTAACAAGCAATAACATTTGACAACAATAATTGAACAATATAAACAAATAACAATAAGTAGCTACAATAAATACAAGTTAACAAACAGGAAGAAGTTCACAATAACAATCTCTAATTCAAGAAAATTTTGATAGTGAATTTGGATGCAAAAACAAAAACAACAATATTGCATGAACCAAAACAAGCAAATCAACAAACCAAACATAACAGAAAAATGCGAACAATCTGCCGAGATGTTTAACAAAACCAGAAAGGGCAGTTGAGAAATTTGCATAAACAGAGGGGCGCAGGCACAAAACACAGAAAGATCTTTTACTTCATCACTTCGAAATCACCACACTTTTCTTGAAGGAAGCAAGCGACATACTAAAAAGGTCAATGTCATCAGGTAGGGCATTGACGAGACGTTGGTCTCTGGGCAATGTGCTGAAGGGATGATAGTTGGTGCTGAGGTGCTCACGAGAGAAGAGGTCCCTGGATCTTGAAGACCTACCCGCCCTAAAGTTCAGAAGTTTGAGAAGTCCGGGACAGTCGATGTAGCCATTGACCAGTTTGTAGATGAGCAAGATGTCCTGGATCTCACGTCTGGACTTAAGTTTTGGAAAATGAGTGGTGCTCTTTCTATCTGGTTTAAATGAAGGTCCAGTCTTTTTATAGAGAAGTACAGGCAACTTGCACAATTAATTTTATGAACAAGTGACTTTTAACACCTTTATCACAAATGAGTTTTTGTACGTCTTAAGGCGGTGACACACTATCGATCTTTTCCCCGATCAAGACCCCGAACCGAGCAGGGAGAAGGGAGAAGGGAGATAAATATCAGCAAAATTTTACTCCGAACATTTCCCCGAACATGACCAAGACCAGACGAATTCTACCGAGCGCGGTATAAGGAAGTTTGGAGAGAGATAGATAGTGTGTGCGAGAGAGAGCGCGGAACTATCAATGCTAGCGCAGGCGGCCGCTCGGTGCGGCGCTCGCGACGATGTACGGGGCAAAAATGTACCGTGACACACTATCGTACATCGGACCGTACATCGGACCGATCTTTTCTTTGATCTTTCGCCAAAAAACCGCCTCCAGAGCGCTCGTCTCCCTGCTCGGCCTGATGTCTTGTTCGGCGTCTTGATCGGTGTACGGACCCGTGACACACTATCGAACATCCTCCCTTCGACCTCCCTTCTCCCTTCTCCCTGCTCGGTTCGGGGTCTTGTTCGGGGAAAAGATCGATAGTGTGTCACCGTCTTTAAAAGCCAATTCAATGTCGTGTTTCTTTAGCGCTTTCGTGAGCGTGTGAATGGAGTGGGAGTATTCCACACATATACTTTTTTATTTTGCATTTGATAATCTCCAGGCCTTTTGCTTTTCTTTTTAGTTACCAATCCGTCTATCATTATACTTTTTAACCATTAGCCATAGCTATGTTATGAAAAAAGTAATTTCTAAAAATGTTGCTGTTGGAAAGTGTTGGCCAAACTTTAACACCACATGCAATTTGTACAATAAAGAAACGATCAGGGTAAATCACCTTTGAAATATCTTTATACAGAAATGTAATGATCAGGGTCACAAGTGATCAGAGAAGTTTCGATCAGAATCCGCACGAATCAGGAATCTTTTACATTATTGACTAATACAATTATTTATTTAAGGCATTGCTACAACAAGAGACTGTTGCAAAGGAGAAAATACCATGAGAAGAATTTGGAAAATTTCAGGTATATATTACAATATTTTACTACGCAATTTAAAGAACGTTTTTTATCAACATTTCTATAACATATTTGTAATTTTCTAATGAAAACTTTTGACGATAGTAGGGTTATTACTCATTTATGGGTGTATAATATCTTGGTTTACGGGAGACGCCTGTGTCGCTAAACTGGTGGAAATACTGGCCGAGGTTTCAAATGAATTGCAATTCAACTAAATTGCATTTTATTTAGTTACAATTGTGGATTTGTAGCTAAAACATAACATGAATTGCTGCAAGAAAATCTGAAGTCAGTATTTCCACTAGTTAAACCCAATAACCTGGTCTTCTTGCAGAGAAAAGTATTCCACAATCTCCCTCTGCATAAATCTTCCACCAAGACCTGGTTTAATCTATGGTTATATTTTGTACTGTTTTGTAAAATATAATGTGGTTTCTTTTACCCAATCCCAAGCTACAAGTAAAACAATATGGTCACTGATATAACTGAAATAGAAACTTATGAGATGGCAGTCCTGCTTCTTACCTCATTACTGATTACCTGACTTAGCGTTGGTGCATTACTATTTACATGGTTCAGTGTTGCTGGGAGTTTATTATGACGGTGCTTTGTAACAGGAAAAGGGTGAAAAATGTAAAGAATTTTTTTATCTTTACATCTATTGTGTAAAATAGTTACACATCCGTCAACGCTTTTGAAAGCAAAATTCAACCGTACACGTCATTTGATGAACGTGTATGGCCTTTAATTTAGGTAAATAGAGGAAACCGCCATTTAGGACTTGCTTAATTCTAAAACCTGTATAGACTAATATGAACATATCTAATCAAGTTTTCCTATTACATGTTCGTATACTTGTTTCACCTTCTATCTCTTATTTACTTATCTTTTTTCTTTACTTTTGAAACTTTCAATTTCAATCTTGATGTTACAAAATTACTATTTTTTTTAAATTTAAATGAATAAGTAATAGGTACATCGATCTCCTAAAAATGGGATCACAAATCCCTTAAACTCTACTGACAATAAATGTCAACACAAATATCAGCTTTCATAAACTTTAAAAAGATTTTTGTGTCCTATCAGTAGTCTAAAAATATTAAAGAAAAATATATCTTACTAATATTAAATGTGAATATTTGTTTGTTTGTTTCTTTGTTTGAAGTTCAATAACGCTTTAACTACTGGACGGATAAGGCTGAAATTTGGCATAATGATAGCTCACACTCCCGATTAACATATAGGCATATTTTTATCTCATGAGTATTCATACTTAAAGGGAATTGAAGAATTTAGTCAGCTGTTTCAAGTAAAAAAGTTGGTTCTATGATATGCAAAAGCTTATATGTTATAAGATTTACCAACAGGGTGCTGCACTTTTTTTCATTTATGAAAACAGCTAATTTCAACTCTGATACGCAATGAGAACTGTCAAAGTAGGATTGTTTACAGTTATGTTTATGTTTTTAATTTCATGAATAATCTGTGATATATTTTTCAAATTGTTAAGATTTTTTTTCCTTTTTGTTTAGGTGAAGTGGTAGAACATTATGGCTATCGTAGATGTGTAATACTATAGTATATACCGTAAATTTAAATAAGCAAATTTTATCAAACTGTTTCCTCTCCCATTTCAAACGCAACGATTGAGCAAAACTGCATTGAGCATAATATACTTATATGCCAACCCCGTATGAAATTTACGTATTGATACACTTTGCGTCACATTGTATGACGATACCTTACTATGCAATTCTTATGTACGTCAAATTTATGTATAAACGACCTTAGCGTTACACTGTAAGACGATACCTTACTATGCCATTCTTATGTACGCAAAATTTACGTATTGAGACCCTTTGCGTTACACTGTAAGACGATACCTTACTATGCAGTTCTTATGTACGTCAAATTTATGTATAAACGACCTTAGCGTTACACTGTAAGACGATACCTTACCATGCAATTCTTATGTACGTCAAATTTATGTATTAACGACCTTAGCGTTACACTGTAAGACGATAACTTACTATGTAATTCTTATGTTCGTCAAATTTACGTATTAATACCCTTTGCGTTACACTGTAAGACGATACCTTACTATGAACTATTCGACATAGAGGTAAGCGATCAAACAGTTTGTAAAATATTTGTCTACCTTAATTACAGAAACGATACTATAAAACAATATACGTGTGCAAAACCTTTTATTGATGACCCTTCATTGATAACAATACAAATTTAGGGATACTTTAATTTCGTTTGTTTTGACATACATTTTGTTAGCAAACCGTTTCAATACATCTATTGTATCCGTTTGATACAAATTGTGTAATATTTGTCTAGTTGTCCTTAAAATAATACTTGTAATAATCCTGCTAGCAGTAAATATTATCTAAAAATCAAACAGAAAGAATATAGGACATTATGTTTTATAAACGTAGTTTACAAACCATCGTAGGTAAAGTAGTGTAAGCAACTCGCGTAATTAGCCCATCAAAATGACGGTATAAGATACCGTCATGTTTCATATTTATATATCATGTTCATGTTTAGATAGTCATGTGCTATTTTTATATGATTATCTAAACATAATCATGCAATCGTTGCGTATAGTATTATAACTTAACAGAAATAAATGTATCCCTTTAAGCTAAGTCTAAGTCCCAGACTTTGTGGTTCATAATCTAAACATCAACCCAAATACCAAATGATAGTGATTAGATAAGTTGCAATTTTTCATCGGAGATATAATGTTATTTACATGTGTTTCTTTTGTTTACAGTTGATAAATGTTCAAATACCGAACGTAAGTTGTTTAAAACCTGCCATTTTAAAAAGTAAGTTTGATAATTTTTAGTAACAAATGTTGAAATTAAAATTGTAGGCCTAATTTTTTTTTTTACTTGAGTGAGAGCGTTAACATTACCATGTTTTGATATAAATCTTCCTACACCTACATGATAACAATTATAAATCAATACACCTATGTCTAATCTGTAGCTTTTAGTTTTTATAAGTAATTAAAAACTATTAAAGTAACTATTAAGTTTTGTTTTTTCAGACTCTAATGGATGACAAAAAACCTGGAAGTGGCACTTGGCGAGTGAGTCTGGTCATTCAATTTCCACTATTTTAATTTAATCACCCGACTTATTTTCTATTAATTTCACAAAACTACATACATCCATCACCTTTCTAAAATGTCACCAGGAAAAAATATTAAGGCGGAATCTACATCTCTATATAGTTTTAGTTTATTTGTTTATTATTAGTTCATTAGTTTATAGTTATAGTATATAAGTTATAGCTTGTAAAACTTTCCATAACTTTCCATGTTCCATAACCAGATTCAATTTCAAAACCAGTGAAATGAGATTTTCGACGATATAAAACTTATTGCTATTTATTTGTATCTCTATGTTAGATTCTTGTCCCCATAGACAAAACGTTATTGTTTATCTGTAATTCACGGTTCTTTTTAAAATTGTTGACCCCATGGTATAACCAAACTCATATTTAATTTTATTTCCTACATAATTTCATATTGGAATTGTTTAAAGCAGATATTTTGTTTTCTTTTGACTCGTGTTGCAGTCTAGTAATTGATCTTACAACAAACTGAGCCCACTTCAAGTATCCTATTCTTTACCAGCTAACCTTTTCACTTTTACTCTTTTACATTTCAATTGCTTCACCGATTTAAAAATCAAATAATCTTTTCACATTTTAGTAGTTGTCTGTTAACTTACATAAAAAATAAATACTTGAATACAACACTGGATAGTTGACGATAAAATTACGTTTAATTTGTAAAAGATGTTTTACACTACATCTTTGATCGTAATACTGTAAATCAAACTATGGTATTACTATTGATAATTTATAGCCTCACCTCTTTAAATTGTCTATTTAAATAAAATCTAAATATATTGTCCATATACAATGCGAATAAAGCTAAGTATAAAAAATACCTGTAGCAAAGGAAATTTCCATTTGCCTGATGAGCTTTTCAATTAAATATATTTAAATAACATTATGTTAAACAAGTACCTAGGTTTGCTGCAACAGGTAGGGTAAGAATGTAGTAATAATACTGTAACTAGAATAATGGTAATAATAATTTAAAGTACAATTTAGCTTAGTATAAAATAAATACATTCGCCAATTTTGATAGAAATATATCCATAATCAAGCAAACTACAACGGTTAACTTATTCTGCATCAGAATTACATGTAAATTTTAAATTAACAATTTTATGAGGATTTACTCAGTATCCAAAACGTAAAAATATTTGAATTTACACATTTTTTCTTTTTAAGCTTCATGAAATGGTTAAAAGAGAATTTTATAAGTGCTATGTTTTGGGGTTCAAAATGAGAAAAAAAAAACAATGCTTACCCCATAAAATCCCTACAAAACCCCGTTTCTATGATCCGACCAAGCTGTTGTAAAAACCCATTAATGTTTATCTCACTCTATATCTTAAGTTGAATTTCATAAAAAACAGATATAAATTACTCAAGTTATTGGTTCACGTGTAGCAGAAAAGTCCAGGAACGGTTTTATATATATTTTACTAATATAGATAAAGTAATGAGACTTGGTATATCAATAATAGCCATAAATGTCAATAGTAGTAATATAGCAAAGGGACGTCACTATTGGTATTTTAGAGGCTATACAGAGGAATTTTTTTAACGAGAAAAACGTTAGGAGCATTTTTAGCCTCTTTTAAGATCCTGCTCTCTGCCTCAATATACATCCCTATACAAACGTTCTATATTACTGTCCAACTCCATAAATATTTCAAATCCCCATTCGTCCCCATATGTATATTTTCAAAATCCAAATCTGTTATCATCACTATCCCACTAAAAACAAATAAAATAATTTTAAACAAATTTCAATTTTTAATTTTTTTTACGCTGTATCATTGTTATTGATCAACAGTTGGAACGCACTTACTATTCCTAAATTTCAACCGTTTTGACAAATCTCAAGCCGTTTTCAGGATATGAGCAATTTTACGTTTTGTTTTAGTAAAATAATCGAAATTTCCAAATTAACTACCTTGTCTATATTGAAGACAAAAACAGAGTTTTAAATAATATATAAAAATGAAGACCATATGTCAACAATCCTTCGTTTCTCTCGCGAAAAAAAAATAAATTAATTCGAAACTACACGTTGATACATCAAATAAGGGTTACAATATGTTATTTAATGTGTGATAGTAACGTTGCTCTTAGATTTAGGTGAGTCGGTGGCTCAGTCGTAGCATCACGGTCTTCGGGCCCAAGGCAGCGATGTCGCGGGTTCGGATCCTGGTCACTGCCGCAAACATTTCATCAGTACAGTTCACCTACGGCTCACCCCTTGCCTTGCTGGATACGTTCCACGCACAGATCTGTAGTCTATGTGGACGGGCAAATGCATGGTTAAAAGAGGCTGCCAACCTCTTAAAAAAATCTTACAAACTCACAAGACTTGTAATTTCTGTAGGAGAAATGTTTTTGGTAATTTTAGACGATCCATCAATTCTTGCAACACATGTCCACAAACAATGATAAAATTTATTGGTAAATCGATTAAAACTGAACTTAAAAACACTCTTCAGTCTTGTCCTTTGCAAATAAAATAAACTTTTGATCACACAACAGATCAAAATATAAAATGAATAAGTAAAAAAAATGTGTTCACATTGTTTTCACATTATTTCTTAAACGTTTGTTGTTCATATTTGCTCTAAGTGATGTCGGTCAATTATTTGAAAACTTAGATCCTATGTGGGTTGTTTTTTTTTTTCAATAAAATGCTGAATTATGTTGGGATAAGTTTATTCCATCTTTATCTCTTGTAAGGTGTAAATGTACAACTCTGTGAAAGCTCAGATCAAAATATAAAATGAATAAGTGAAAAAGAATGTGTTCAGATTTTAGAAGCCTTATGACCTTAATCATTGAGAAAACAGATTTAAACTCTCAAATTGAATATGCTCTTTTAATGATTGACCCGTCCATGCACAAGTACCAAGCTCAAGGCAGTGGGTCAATATATGACCACACCAAATATTGGTAGCTGCATGTTTACAAGCCTTGTAATAATTATACTTACGATAAGCCCCTAACTCCAAAGTAACACATCCCCACACCAGAAAGTATTAAATCAAAACATAAAAAAAATATTGACAATAAATGCTTTTGTTGGTGGTATAGCTGCTTTAAATCCAAGAAATGATATAAATAAAAGTGCTAAAATAGTCTACAATTATAAAACCTACGATAGTTAAATACGACAAACATATATATATATATATATAACCTCTAAAAATTACATTAAATTACTAACAAAAAAATACAATGCAGTTTTAACATAACAAATTATAAAATAGCATAATTTATTTCATCTTCCCTAACATACAGTGACACACACATACACCATCTGCTGCATCTAGGCCTAACGCACGCCATCCCGCCAAGCCACGGCCATCCGGTCAAAGGAATATCCCTTCAGCGCCCCCATCAGTCGTGATAGGTTTTCTATGGATTTAATGTGAAAAGGTTATGGCTATGGAGTTCCATAGGTGGCATGCTGTTACTAAAAATTATTTGTTATAACCAGTTGTTCTGTGATGAGGAATGCAAAGCGTGGACGAGACGGTATCCCTTGCACCTCTTTCATGCAATAATTTAAAATTCTTTAAAGATAATTTGGAATACCAAAATTGATGGTCGAATGAAACGCAACAGGTTTTTATTGGTAATAAAAAGTTTTCGTATTTTTTTATGTCCTCTAATTTAAAAATTGATTCATAATTGTAATAGGGTGTGACATGGTCATCACGCCTAAGATTGAACTAGAATTAAACAAAATTATTTTCTACTCGTAATTAATAATTAATAAATTAAAATTAAATAAAATAAATAATTAAATTAATAATAATTAATTAATAATTTTTTTGCCAAAGACACAGTCATATCATTAACCACAGTGATGCAGTAGTTGAACTGTGGAAACATGAGTGATTTGACCAGTATAAGTCATTTATAATTTCTAACAACCACACCCCATTTGAATTTGCATTTGTTGTAGTGAGAGATTCTAAAATCATTTCTGAAGAGCCGTATAGTGGTGCAAATGTTATGGATGTGGTTTTCGAAAAGCTATTTGAGACTTATGGCTTTATTAAAATTCAAATGGTGGTATATATTCCCCTTGTAATGACTCTAGAGCAAGAGAAATCTTTCCAAAGACCAACACATTGTCACATTTGGGATAGGCCACAATGCTGTGATGAAGTCCGAGATTATTGACACTTAACAGGCTAGTTCCGTGGAGCTGCCCAAACGATTGTAATTTAAACTATAAAGTTACTAAGAAAACTCCAAGTTTTATTCCATATGAAAATATGATGGATATTTAATAATGCAATAAAGCTCTTGCGTGTCCTGGTGAAGCCTGGGGGTAGGTGGTTAGAGTGGCTCTGAACCGGTTTTGTAGGGGCGGGGGTATGCCGAAAATCAGTCTGCACTCTCATCCTGTCCGGCCAACATTCCGAATACACTCCTTTTCAAAAATATTTTGGATCCCAGTTCGATTATCCTAAAACTTTATTTATATATAATAGGTGGAAAATAAAATATTAGGCGATAGATTTTTTTTTACTTTTGGCAAGCAATAATTTTGTTCTTTAATAATTAATCACACACACTTTTGATATACACTACTACCTTGCCTCGTTATTCTCCCAGTGTGATAAATAGTTTTGTATCTATATAGTCTTAGCTTTTACTTACAGTCAAGTGGAATAAAAATTAAATAAATAATATATATATATATACATATATACATATTTAAGATTCATGGTCTTAGGATAATAGAAAGTGAATACTATTGTAAACAAATGTATTATATAAGGTATTTATTTTTTTTTAGAATTATGCTGGAGGAAAATTGGCTTGGCAGGTAAGTGAAATATTTGTAATCTTAGTAAGTATATTTTCATAATAAAGTTAGAAAGTTTACTTCAACTGTTTCCGTTAAGTTTCTTTTTAAAACGTTTTTATTAGCTCGCTTTCTTGTCCGGTACAAATGTTGCAATCAATTTTTTACTAACTTCCCGATGAGACTTGAAACTTGAATTATAGCTCACAAATGGATAACAATGCAATATTATATCATTTAATTTTCATATTTCCCTTAGGCTACGCCCCTTGGGCTTGTTTTTATTAGCTCACTTTCCTAAAAATTTTCATATCAATTTTAAACGAAGTTCCCGATGAGCTAGAGACTTGAAATCTGAAACATAGTTCACAATTGGATGACAATGCAATATTATAGCATTTCATTTTCATATTTCCCTTGGGCTACGCCCCACTGGCTTCCAAATCGTCAATGTTTACATTTTGAAAGAATGTAAATATATCAATTAATTAAGTCAGCTGTAAACACTTAAATTTGACACTTTAAAAAGCAGAGGTTAAGAGGTACAGATTCTGCTCCCAAGAGATTTTTTATACAAACAAACATTTCAAAATAAAGATAAACTATCTGATTGCAGATATAAAGGTGTTTGTTAATAATGTCGTTTGTTATTTATTTAGTATTCTATAAAGTCGCCCGAGTGCAGCGTCAGGCAGCACTAAGGGTAGCATCTGCCTATCGAACAGTGTCCGAACCCGCCGTCCTGGTGGTTGCTGGAGTCATCCCCGTCAAACTTTTGGCGGCGGAGAGGAAGGCAATTTATCAGCGCCGTGGGGAGGACCAGGCAAGTATTGAGGAACGCACCCGGACCTTCCAGCTGTGGCAGGAGAGCTGGGAACAGGAGACAAGGGGGCTCTGGACCAGGCGACTGATACAACAGGTCCAACCTTGGGTTAATCGGCGGTGCGGAGAGGTGAACTTCTACCTCACCCAATTTCTGACGGGTCACGGCTTTTTCCGGTCGTACTTGTTCAGGATGGGCAAAGCCGTGTCACCCGATTGCATATACTGCCCAGGCATTCCCGATGACGTGGAACACACTTTCTTCCACTGCCAGCATTGGGAAAGGCCCCGCCTAGAGGCTCAACAGTTCGTAGGACTGCTGTCGGTGGACACGGTCATACCGATGATGATGGAGGGTGAGGACAATTGGACCTGTGTGTCACTTTACATCCAGGGTGTTCTCCGCGCCAAGAAGCTTGACCTCGACCGGGATGCGGTGTAGGTCAAAAAATAAATAATGCCAGAAACGGTGCGAGCCCTGTGGGCTTAGGTCACATGTTGGCCTGACTTGAAGTAATGTGACAAACAATTCCAGGTCTGTGTCCAACAGAGTAGAGGGGGTTTTTTAGTGAGTAGTCTGTGATAAACTCAGGAGTCTCACACTACAGGCTGGCTACCTGTGTGCGTAAAAGCATTTTCCCTCCTCACCCTAAAAAAAAAAAAAAAAAAAAAAAAAAAAAAAAAAAAAAAAAGTATTCTATAAAGTAAACAATAAATTAAATAGATTGATATATTTATAGTAAGTAGATAGGCCATACGTTCAATCTAATACATAATTATATGAAAAGAAACTCAAATAAACCTTAGATTTCCCACATGCCTCTGTCTTAATTTGATATAGATGCATGAAATTGATTTAACATCCACACACATTAAAAACTAAAAAGTAGAAAATAATTTATAAATAAAAAACTTTTATAAAACAAAACATTTTTAAATGCACTAAAAAGTAGAAAATAATTTATAAATATGTGGAGAGTATAAATACTTGTACGATTTAAAACGAAAAACGTAAGGTGCATGCAATTGATAATTATACATTAGTTCAATAGGTGAAGGTAATTGTAAATGATCTATTGCATGCACCCCACGTTTTTCGTTTTAAATCTTACAAGTATTAATACTCTCTACATATTTATAAATTATTTTCTACTTTTTAGTGCATTTAAAAACGTTTTGTTTTATAAAAGTTTTTTATTTATAAATTATTACTACACATAAAAATATTTGTTTGGATATTCTATAATCTTCGTTATATCTTTGCGTTTCATTTTTTTCATTTCAGTTATAAATTTTCAATGGTCTTTTAATGAAATAAGAAAATCTTTAAATTAATAATATTACCACAAATGCGATGGCCATCGCAAAGCATTGCGTTACACATTTATTTGTTCCCAATAATATGCGTAAACACTTTTGCAACACTCTGTATACGAAAATAGTTATTTAATATTTTATGGTTATTAAATAGGTTTATTGGAACTGAAACGGTATGGATCATAAGCATTAATAAATGACGTTACTGACCGTCATTTATAAAAAATTAAACATATTTTATTTATATTTAAATGGAACTGACAATGACGGGAGTGAGAGAGCTGGTCTAAACAAATCATATCAAAATCTATTTATTACTAGCTGGCCCGACAGACGTCGTCCTGTCCTATTGTGGTTTTATGTCACATGCTCGTTCATTTTCATATTCAAGATAAGCTCGTTCGCATGGTTCAATCACGTCCTGGTTGAAGTTCGTTCGCTACGCTCACTCACCTTTAGGTTGGAGCTCGTTCGCTGCGCTCACTTGCCTTCAGGTTAGCTCGTTCGCTACGCTAACTCGCCTCGAGGTTGAAGTTCGTTCGCTACGCTCACTCACCTTTTGGTTGCAAATTAGCTGTTGTCATAAATTTAAAAAAAATAATAGTGCTGCACCCTGTTGGTAAACCTATTAACTTTTTAATGCTATTGAACATCACAGAATCAAATTGTTTAGTTGCACCAGCTGTTAAGATTCGTTAATTCCATTTAAATATGAGTACTCATAAGGTTAACATGGGAAACTCCAGAGCCACTGGGGCGGAGCCCTATTGACGGGTCTGCACCAAACTTCACACAAACCATCCTTGAATAATGCTTAATAATGCCTGAAAGTTTCATTACAATCTGTCGAGCGGTTTTCGAGTCCATAAAGGACAAACATACAAATATACAAACATACAAATATACAAACATACAAATATACAAACATACATTGGATTTTATATATATAGATTTTGTACATACATACAAGAAAAGTGTCATAAAATATCAAAACTTCCATACAAAAGGTAATATATAACAACTAATTTTCATGATTAACTGGGTCAAAACTGTGCTAATATATATCACTCTTCATATTTTTTCTTAAAATTATCTTCTAAAGAGGAACATCTTTCCTTGACTAAAAAGATTTTCACATTATTTCTTAATCGTTTGTTGTTCATATTTGCTCTAAGTGATGTCGGTCAATTATTTGAAAACTTAGATCCTATGAAGGTTGTTTTTTTTTTTCAATAAAATGCTGAATTATGTTGGGATAAGTTTATTCCATCTTTATGTCTTGTAAGGTGTAAATGTACAACTCTGTGAAAACTCAGTTTATGAAACTGATTTTGACAAAGATCATTCTAGAATGCATTGGTAGTAGAACACCAACCACTTGAGCAGGCCGTAGAACGATTGGCACACATTTTTAGCCGATTTGGAATAGCACGACTGGCACAATCATTAGAGGGGATTAAGAAGGGTCAACCTGTAAGGTTAGGAAAGGCACGATTGACACAAAAGCCCGGTAAGGAAGTGGAAATTGTTTTGTCCCCACATATTCCCTGCTGTGGTGCTTATTGGAGTAAGCAAGGTGTAAGTTTTCGCGACAAATCTGCAGCTACGGTCACTGCGCTAGCTGGATCCAAATAAACCTACACTAACCTAACATAACCTAACCTAACATAACATAACGTAACATAACCTAACTTGACCTAACCTAACCTAACCTAACCTAACCTAACCTAACCTAACCTAACCCAACCTAACCTAACCTAGCCTAACCTAACCTAACCTTTGAAAGTACGTGACATTACCGGCAAATAACTGTCGTGCAGAGTTGACGGGAATTTTAAAATTCCCGTTTTCCCTCGTTCGATGGCGTCTACCTGGTCGAGCGGTTGTGCCAATCGTGCCTTTTCTAAACAGGCGAGTTGACCCTACTTATTCCGCTCAAATGATTGTGCCAATACTGCCATGGGCAGAAAGTCCAAAAATGTGTGCCAATCGTCCCGTTCCCCTTGAGCAGGGGTAGTTTTCTAGGGGTAAAGCAACCGCTATTTAAGGTAAATGCACCAGTAGCTGACAGTATAAGAAACTATACGCACTTAAAATCCGTGGTTTTGAATAAATAGGAACTAAAGCGATATCACGGATTTTAAGTGATTCTAAATTTAGTGTAGTTTTCAAATTTGTCATACAAAAAGGTTTTTTTTTAATATATTTTATAACATTTTTAAACTTAATTCAACCTTTGTACGTAATATCCCCTGTCAGCTAGCGGAACTTGTATGGCTTTTGTATACCAAAGCCTGACATTGATATAATTTTAAATCCAAAACCCCTAACACCCCAATTTTATCATGAAATTGTCAACAAAGGTATAATTGATAAAAATAATGAGCCTAATAATTAATACTATTTAAGAAATTTAGCGAAATGACAAAAAACCAAACTTACCTTCTTAACAATTTCATTAAGGGAATCGACTAAATGTGATGTGCACGGACAGGGTCGCTTTCAAACCACCACTATTCAGCGAGTATGGGCTAAATTTCACTGATTTGTTTGTAAACAAATCAAGAATAAACATATGATCTTCTAACAATGCAATAATGTGTTAATATTTTTAAGAGACCACATTATAATGTAAATAAACTCAAACTGTCAGCTTCTGGAGCACTGTCAGCTACTGGTGCATTTACTTAGGTGTATTTTGGGTTCTTGGGTTCTAGGGGTTAAGGTAAATTAATTGTTAGAAGTAGTAGACATCCCTCCCCGATTGTCAGGGGTTAAGGTTAATCAGCTGACAGCTGGTACGTAACCTTATACATAGTACTTTTGAATGTTATGCATACCTTATAATATGACTTTTAATAATTTAATTATGGGTAAAAAGTTTGTGGCTTGGTCGAATTTTGAACTCCGGTCTCCTGTATGTTGGTTAGATGCTGTAGCCATTGGGCTAGGACGCTAGTTAATGAGAAAAGAGTCTTAGGATGTATATATTTACCAATGTTTGCTATAGTGGTTAGCGATAGCTGTTACACGTCATCCTAATGCTATAAATCGTGTGAGTTTCTTTGGAGCCTTGTCCCTGTAATCAGCTGTTAGCTGCGTCAGACGGACCAACCTTTTATTTACATATAATAAAAAATAATTTTAATTTCATATATATACATTTACACATACTTTTATTTATTACATATTTCATCGCTAAGGGTCAGACGCACCAGCCACAAAAAAAAAAAAAAAAACACCAATAATACAGTTGTCTTCAACCAAATTTTCTTGAATATTTTCAATAAAAGATATCAATGGTGGACTTATCTATCCTATAACCATGTTGATCTTGGTCTAACATACTATTTTTTTCAAAATAATCTAATAACTGATAAAGCATACTTTTTAAAAATTTTTAGTTATCACTATTTGGTAATGATTTTATTATCTTTAGAGTATGAAATTTAAACATTATTTTGTCTATTAAGAATATAAGATACAAAATAATACAAAGATAACTTGTGTTAACCAAGACTTAATATTATTCAACAGTGTTCTGTGTGAGATACTGTCAAGATCTCTAGATTGCTGTATCTCCCATAACTTCATTTCCTTTTTTCTTTCCTCTATTGAATCAATTATTGTTTTTGTAAATAAAGTGTTATTCAATTCACATTAAAAGTGCTTTAAATGCAATACTATGTAAAACTTTTATCCAGTTTCTCTATTGTATGAAAATAATTGCAAATATTTCTAAAGACCTTTAATTTGAAATTCAAAATTGGATACAGTTAATACTTTTTCTAGGATGGGTTTCATTTAGTTGAAAAGAGTCTACATGTCGAGTTGTATAAAGATCGGTAAAAAATCCAGTAAATATTTTCATTAATAATGTATAAAATACTACATATTTGGCAAATTAATTTTTTTGTTAATTGATCAATTTTAATTTGCTATTTATTTTTATTTTCAAAAACACACTCTGTTGGTAGTCTTTCAGTAATTTTTAAATGTTTGTTGTTTTTTTTCAAACGTAGATATTTTCAAAACATCGATGTGTTTGCGTCGTCTCTTTATATTATTACCTGCATACGATTTCAATTCATGAATAATGTTGCAATACAAATTTGTTGATTGATAGATACAATATTGATACGCAAAATAATAAGTGTTAAAAATACAAAATGTTTCAGTTTTTAAACAAATTCTGGAAATCACAACAATTTGTTTTGAATCATATAATATTACGAATATCGAACAATATAGATTGTTTCAGTGAAAAATCTTGATAGCTCTCCAGCAATTTATTTTTGACATAAGGCCAATCTATCTATATATTAATAGGCAAACATGTTTTTTGTGAAAATTACTCCTCCGAAACTACTGAACCGATTGACATGTTTTTGGTGTCATTGGAAAGAGCGTAACGTGAAATTGTGCAGGAAACATTCTTTTTAGGGAAATAATTAGAGAGTGAGGTCCTGGGGCCCTTTAAAGTTTTGTATTTCTCCATCAGATTAACATGGGAAACAAAAAATGTTATGAAATTTAACATATGCTACAAACATTTACTGACTTGGTTGAAATGAAATATTTACCCTTTGAATTTGGGTTGGCGTAAATATTACAATGGAAAAGAGTGAGAGAGCCTGGATAATTTTATATACTAAAAAGAAAACTTTTTAATACTGTGCTGCATTTCTTAGTTATCATTGAAAGAGCCGATTTGCAAACTATGGAAACATAGGAAAGTCATAGAACACCACCAAGTAGAAGAAATAGAAATCATGATTTTTTTTGAAATTTTAATCGTTATTATGGACAACCTAATGCGAATAAGAGTAAGGCTATTTGTAGAAAACGCTAAAAAACATAATCAGCTTTTGAAAAATGATAAGATATTTACAAAAAATGTTGATTAGGCCTATATCGATCTGTTACGTACATCTTGTTTATTTCCATAATCTTTGAGTCGAATCTTAGTCATCAGCAATTATGACTGTTATTCGTTTTAAAATAACGCCTCTAATAAGTCGACTTAGCAATTGCTCGAATTCGAGCAACCGGTACACTAGTATTATGTTATTATCAAATGAGAAGCATTATTTTTATTATATTGTACATATGGTACATGTAATTTTTTACATGTGACAAATATACAACGATTAACTTATTAACAGGATCGGAGACATAACCTAACAAATATACTGTCAAAATCCAACTAGGGAAATTCCCAAACTCTATGGACCTAAACACCTTCAATGGAAAAAACACTCGATTGTATCAACATTTACATTAATTCTGCGGACATAGGCTTTTGTATTACCTGTAGGGACATGACCAACTCTTGCATTAACTGTGAGGACATCCACACAATTTTCATGGTTATTTTTTACTTCATCTAGACCAATAAACATATTCATCATTCTTACATATTCATCCTCAATTTGAGGTTAGAAAGAACATATGATGTTTTTCAACCATGTGCCTTGAGGTCCACATAATTTGGTTAAAAACCCACGTCCACACAAGTATTGGTATAGTGTAGTATGAGTGTTTGAGTCTGTGTGTGTGTGTCTGTCTGTTTGTGTGGATGTGAACAGAGCTCCAGACCACACCTGTGGTCTGATTTTTGAAGAAATTTGGTATGTAGTTACAAAGCCACGGTTACTTCAGGACTTTATTTTTTTATTTGGATTTATGATTGTGATTTTTTTATAAAAACCCATAAAATAACGGATAATTCAAATTTTCTGAAAAATAGCCCTCACGAGTTTGATAAATATTTAGTATGCTGTAGCCCTTTAAATTCTTAATAAAATAGTAGAGCTCATATTCCTGTAAAAAATACAGTTCAAAGGTTATTGTAGCTTATGATATTGTCAAATAAAAACAAAAAATAAGAGAATTATTGGATAAAAAAACTGTTTCGATTGATATTAGTATGTCATGGATCTTATAATTCTTAAAAACATAGTAGATCACCCATTTCTGTAACAATTACTGTTCAAAACTTATTGTAACTTATGTTATTTCCCCATAAAACCCATGAAAAAAACGGAAAATGGATTTAAACAAACCAATTCTGATAAAAATTTCTCTGTTATGGTCCTTAAAATTCCAAACAAATAGTGCAACCCCAGAAAAATCTTTAAAAATGAAGGTTCAAAAGTTAATGAAATCTTTGTGATTTTTACTTATATGATAGTTACTCTCATCGCTTAACCACGATATCGGTTGTTGAAAGTTAATGGGAGAAAGTATGTGATTGCTGATACTGTTTATTTTTTTTTTTTTATTTGTTTTAATTTTGTTCGTGTTTTTTCCAGGTGGGATATGACTGGATACAATCACAGGTCAGTATTCCATTGAATTGTTTGTAATTCTATACGTAGGGGGATTAGTTTATGTTTATCACCTGCAAGGATTCTTATTAGACTACATCGTTTTCCTACGCAAGAAGAATGTTTATTATGCGAAAGTAATGTGTATTATATTTGTTTATGATTTTTCCGACATAAACAAACACACATTTGTTATTTTGTCATCAACTGTTTTAATTTCCAACAACCAAAACGGTTCAATTAATGTGAATTTGTACTTTAAACACAAGGCCTAACCAAAAAAGTTCTACTAGTTTTAAATTCTTAGCTTCTTAAATTAATATTTCAATGCATTTTGAAATAATTAGTCTTTCGTAATATTCTAAAAACATGTAATGACTTACTCTCTACAATATACTAATGCTATAACATTATTGAAACAGGTTTTGCAGTTGTGTATTTATGATTTTGTTTTGTTAAGTAATCATTAAGGTTTCTTTTAATCATTTAGTGTTATGTTTTAATTTAAGTTAAAGTTCATAGAATTCTCTAGTACCTTACTTTTTCTTATGTTTTTATACTTAAGTACTTTTTGGAACTACTTGAGAGAGAGAGAGAAAATTCTTTATTTTTTACACACTGTTTTGCAGCAATAAATACAAAAAATAAAAAATACCACATGGGTCACAATGACCTGTGCGTGATAGAGTCCTTAGCTGTCTGCTGTCAAAATAAAAGTTCTTCACACTTCACAATACACATAAAAAAAGAACTAACAATAACTTGGTAAAATAACACTATACAATTAATACTATAACAGTTATAAAATAACCTAAAAAACCATATGCAACGTGCAATCAATAACACATTGTTTGCATTACATCCGATTAAAGCATAACTTTTTTCTTTCAAACCAAATTTTTTTACTGAGGCGTGGATTCCGTCAAGTAAGAGTGCTGTGGAAGGTACAATAGATAGTCCAGTTATCAGTTGGTTAGGTCTAAACGAGATATTCTGGGCTGATAAGCGACTCTGTATTGTCAAGGCCTATCTCCATCAGCCAATTAGTGATAACCCTCTTATATACACTCAGTGACACTCGCAGGTCCCTAATTTCTGGAGGAATATTACGCAACAAGCAATTAGCAATGTAAAAGGAATTTGTTAAATTGATTGATTTGAGAACTCTTGGGACCCGTAATCCTATCATCACTGAGTTTCTGGTATGATAGTTATGAACTACTGGCAAGGTGATAAGGTCTAAATGAATGTATGAATAAGCTAATAAATCTTTAACATATAGCTGCCTTATTGATAAAAACTGGGATTCTTTGAACAGATGATCAGTAGAATAACGTCTCGGTTTTCTTAACGCAGCTCTAATTATTGATTTTTGAATTACGAACAAAGGTTCAATTACTGATGAATAAGCCCCTCCCCAAGCTATTAAACCATACTGCAGATGAGATTGAACGTAGGCATAATAAATTCTTTTAATTTCTTCATGTCGTAAAATTTGACCTAATTGGTAAAAAACATAAATCATTTTTCTAAGTTTTGTTTTTAAAAAATGTATATGACTTTCCCATGGACTTTAATATGACTTTAATATGACCATGGAAATGCATATGACTTGGAACTAGTACACTCTTGTTTTATTGCCAATATCGTTCAAAAATAAGTGCTTTACAATATCGAGGTTTTAAATAAAATAACCAATATTTCGCAACAAATAAATCCAATCTACAAAATAAAAGGTAAATGCTGTTACATACATTTAATGCTTATAAAACAATGCAATCACATTAAGTTTAGGTGTTATAATAAGCGTACGATAACATTGCATTAAATGGCGGCACGGCAGGCATGACCGGACTGTGGTGGGGGGAGCTGTCTGTAACCGTACCAATCGGCTGCTACACAGCGCGTATTCCATTGTGTTTATATAACGATAAGATTGATTGACAACAGGTTAGTAACCTCATTTTATGTCAGAAAATTAATCCTGGACGCAGATTCCGTACACAAAAAGAATGCACTAAGGGTATCCCAAACTTTTATATTGATTTATTCTTCAATAAAATAAGGCAACACGTAGAAGAACAATTGTTATATTTACAGGACATAACTTTAGGTGTTAGAGAACATTTTGCAAAGAAAGAACTCACTCTTAGCATACAAGTGTGCTGCACAAAATTTCACACTTCTGGGCAAGTCAAACGTGTACAAGTTGAACAGCATTGGGCCTAAACAACTACCTTGAGGAACACCACGCAGTTTGCAAAGCGGATCTGACGTCTCACTCACACTTTAAATAACATGCAGTCGGCACTCTAAATATGACCGGAACCAACAAACATCTTTTTTACTGCAACCATAGCACTTCATTTTGGCCAATAATAATTCATGATCAATAGAGTCAAATGCTTGAGAATAATCTAGAATAGCTAATTTGCTGTAGAGTCCTTTATCTTTTAATTTTTTATTTGACACTTTTTTAAATTTAATCTATAACCGTTAGGCATACAACAACGCTTCAATATACTAAATTATCTGTTTTTTTAGCTCTACAAAATGGTTTGAAATGAAATTGAAAAGTTTTATGTTTTTAGGTTTAAAAATTAGAAAACCCCATTTTCATCCCATAAAACCCCCCATAAGCCCCTCTTGCCATAGTCCGATCTTACTGGTTCGCTAACTCGTTTGAATAAACCTAGGTTTACACGTTTGATTTTAATTTTAACAAAATCGGATTATTTTTTCTCGAGTTATATATATATATGTCCATTAACATGATAACTCGAGAAAAAATAATCATATATATTCAGCTAAGACCTATCTCTGTGTTTCCTGCAATGTCAAAAATAATGGAAAATATAGTAACTAAACAGATTGTTTCATTTCTAGATGAGTATAATATATTGTCATTGACTATATTGTCCTATATATATAGCACCTATATATATATATATATAGACCTATATAGTGAATGTAGTCAATATACATGTATATAGTCAATATACCTATATATACCTGTAGGTATACATAGTCAATGAAATTGTGTTAGCTACAGTCAGGGTTTAGGAAAAAAACACAGCACTTGTACTGACTGATATGTTTGCGGATCTATTCGAAGCCAAAGATAAAGGACTCTACTACAGCACATTAGCTATTCTCGATTATTCTCAAGCATTTGACTCTATTGATCATGAATTATTATTGGCCAAAATGAAGTGCTACGGTTGCAGTAAAAAAGATGTTTGTTGGTTCCGGTCATATTTGGAGTCCCGACTGCAGGTTATAAAAAGTGGGAGTGAGACGTCAGATCCGCTTTGCAAACTGCGTGGTGTTCCTCAAGGTAGCTGTTTAGGCCTGGTGCTGTTCAACTTGTACACGGTTGACTTGCTCAGAAGTGTGGTATTTTGTGCAGCACACTTTTATGATGACGACTGCCAACTTCACTTGTCGTACAGGCCAGACATGGCATCAGAAGCAATTCGGCTCATCAATACTGATTTGCACAGCATTTTTCAGTGGTCGTTCACGAATGGGCTCGGATTGAATGTTGACAAGTGTGTTGTTATGCATACTGGACTACACAGTCTGATAGAGGAATTGATTAAATCTGCTATAGAAGTCACCCTTGATGGCATGAGATTGTCTCTTTGCAACACTGTCAACACAGTTGGTTTTGTACTTGACAAAGACCTCTCTTTTTCTGACCATATCACATCTGCAGTTAAAGGTGCAGTGGGTAGACTGAGAGGTATTAACAGATTTAAAACTCTACTGCCAGAATGTGTCAAAATGAAACTCGTGCGATCCTTGGTCCTTCCAGCATTCACACATTGCTTCCCTGCATGGAAACAGCATCTCTAAGGAGGATATGGCAAGAGTTCAAAGAATTCAAAATTCTGCCTTAAGGTTCATTTTTGGCCATAATAACTTTGACCACGTGTCCCAAAGGATGACATGTGCAGGAGGTTTACCTGCTGCCTGGTCCACAAAGAGCTCAGGCTGGGAGAGCCTCGGTACCTCAGCGGGATGCTTATTTACAAGGGGGAGATCTGTCTGCTTGGTACTCGTTCCGACCGCAGGCCCCACTTTACTAAAGTGAGGTTTGAGATTGGAAGAAAGTATTTTTTTATTTCGGCCCGCAGTTGTGTAATGGCCTCCCTCAAGACATAAAGACCTCCAAATCCTATTGTTCATTCAGGGCTGCAATGAAGAAAAAACAAAGGTTAATTTTAAATTGTTCATGTTTTTCCATGGTAATTTTTGTATATATGTGTAAATATTAGGCTAGTTTAGATTTAGTTTTTGACTTGAGTTAGTTTGAAAATAATATAATATGAAACTTGCTTGTACATAAAGGTATTTTTATTTATTATTTATATATTTATTTATTGTTTGTCTGACCTTATGACAACAGCTAACTCACCAGCAACAAAAAGCTGTGATACAAATTGAGAACTGTCTAAGTAGGATGGTTTATAGATATGTTTTTTTTTATTATCTATTACATGATTTGCGATATTTTGTGAATGTGGCACTGAATACTACAAAATACACTGAATAGGCTAACTTTTGGTACATTAATGATCAAGTTAATGACTTAAATGGAAAGAACTAATATCGTAGATGTGAAAGTTCGGATTATATCAATAATTTTTCCATGAATAGGGCCAATATACAACAGGCTTATGGGACAGAGTAATTTTTTATTTTAATACTAGGAAAATTCGTAGGACACTACCCAAAGTAGTAATGGGTAAAGTTTTAATGGTATTTTATGAGTACACTTAATATTATACAATCCAAATTGATTAATACGTGTTTAAAAATGATTTCGTTCGTGCTTTACCAAAATTGTGGACTTTTATTTATGAGTTATTTACTTTTTATACATCATATTCATAAAACAAATTATTCTCTTTAGCATTCTCTTCCCGTTGCGAAGCATGGGTATGGTGGCTTGTAAGCAATCCATGTACACTGCAGATAAGCTGACAGCTGTTTCATGGCATTGTTTAAGAACATAAAACCTTTGAGAGTCATTGGTACATAACCTAATTAGGCATCTTCAAATGCACATGAACTCCCTTTCGGCCCTTTAAATACAACAAACGGTTGGGGTCTGGTGGAACTTAACATTCGTGGAGTGCAGCTGACTAAAAATATCAGCACCATCTGATCTCAATCTTATTAAATACCACGTTTTCGTAAAGTGTAAAATGTTTTGTTCCGTTACCTCTGATTGGCAACTCATAATGTAACTATCTCGCAAAACATGAAAACATGTATGCTATTGGAATATGTAAATATGTAAATTGCAATACTGGAAATGTTTAACAATAATTGTGTTATAGGAACAATTTCTCAATCGAAAGGAAATCTACAAGGGCAAAGAAGTTGCACTTCATATTGATCATGGTTTCTTTAACGGAAGAAAAGAAGACGTAGAACTAAACGCAATAATGGTAAGAACAGTATTTGCAGTCTTAAATTGTGTTACTATTTATCCCATTTATGGAATAAGCTATTATTGTAGGTCTCATGTCAGGACCGACTTGTTGTTTCATTGTCATGTCTCCAGAGCCCAAAAACACCAAAATAGTTCAAATTCATACAAATAACATGCGAATCACATGTCTCCTCCCTTGAAATAAGGTGACACTTGTAACGACCCAAAAGCCGTCAAGGGGTTAAAAGCCGTTTTTAAGTTTTATTTAGAAGTATTAGTTTTCGTTCGGGGTAAACCGCGCCCGCGTTGACAACGGCATCGAAGGAGCAGGCCTACGTCATCGTAGTGGGGAGGAAGTTAGTTAGCTACCCTGCCGCCAGGAGCGATGGGAAGAAGGGCCAGAGGAGCAGACCTCAAGTTCAGTTGTCTACCCGCCTCAGATCGATAAGGACGTTGCTGTTTGGAGCAATCCAACAATTATTAGGAAAGACCCGAGTCATCCTGGTGAGTTACATAAAGTTTTCCCCTTGGTGGTGGAGTCCTTAGCTATTGTGTGCTACCGATATAGAATTTCGTTTAATTTTAGCTGTAGAGAAGTTTAATTTTTATTTTAATTGTGCCCGCAATTGCGTGCTGCGCGCGACTTGCACGCTTTTTCCCGTCGTCAGCACACGTACTCTCGACTCTTACTTGCCACGAAATTTATTTAATACACCCGAGTAATATCCGTGGGGATTATTCCGTTACCCCGAGCCGTCCTACGCAAATTTGTTTTAAGAAACACCGCATCAACTCTGGTGATCGACCGAGTTAAATTCTCCCGACACGTTTACTTTGGTGATTACCAAGTATAACGACCGAATCACGTTTTAGTTAAGTTTCTAATTAATTAGGTCATCCGCATTCTCGATAATTTATTCAAAATTCTAAATTTAGCTTCACATATTTTTCGAGTGGCTATGATGAGCCACTACCTACCACTAAGCTCTCTACCTAGTTAAAGGTAAGCTTAACATTGTAAGCATTATTGTTATAATTAATATTCTGAGCCAATAAACTCGAAACGATAATTAATTAACGAACACGTTAGAGTCCTGGACTATCTCATAGTAGGCTAAGCTATCTGGACAAATTTAAGGTGTGACAGAATTTCAGGTGAGACGACAATTACGTACTTTAAAATCTAATTTTGTCTCTCAACCCGAAATTTCGTCATACACTCGTTTGGTTGTTCTATAAAGGTAAAATGGTGAAAGAGACCGAAAAATTATATTTGCTAAGGTGTGATTAACAGTTTAATGGTGATAAAGATAAATAAAAAAATGTCGCATCACCAAATAAGAACGTTGAAAAAAAAAACACTCTATGCAATAATTTAGAAAGTCCAAGTTTAATTGAAATAGTAAAAAATTTAAATTAACAAAATAACTTGATTTTAAATTTTTATAAATTTAGTTATATATTTCTTTATATTACATAAATAATGTAATGGTCCTTCAAAGCACATGTATTCCCTAAACCTCTTCAGTTCGCGGTTTTCTCTCATTTTCCTTCCTTGAGTCCGCGAATCCCAAGTCTCGTCACCCCTCAATCTTATCCACTGTCATATCTCTGACTTGACGGTCAATGCCAAGAATCCAACCGTAGGATTGCCACGTGAACAGGGAAGAGTGTGTTTTAGTAATTTATAATTTTACTAAATGAAATAAATAAAGTACCAAAATTGTAAAAACATGTATCCATAACAAACTAACTACGAGAATCTTTTTAACCAACTTGTCCCTACTATTAACAAAAGGAGGAGGTTCTCAATTCGTTTGTGACAATGTATTTTTTTATACGGATGTTCACCAATTTCTCTGTGATTCTTTTACCGATCAACTTGGTTCCGTCACCAAAATGACTAGGAGAGTTTCCCTTTGGTATTTTAGATAACATTATGTTTAAGTGTAATATTTGTTGCGGTAAAAATTCTGAAAACTTCAAATATCCAACTTTTATTTTGCTTATATTTGTGCAGAAAAGAGAATAAATAACAATAATATGCCTAAAGCTGTTGGCTGAAACCATTCAAATGATGCTACTAAAGCTTTTGTTATAAAACAACCTTTGTTCTACTTCTGAGAGATTTGTTAGTGTTGGTGGCTGAGAAATAACTTTCATATCATTCCAAAAGGCTTGAGACGGTACTTTATTTATTTTTAGCGTAGAAGAACCTCGATTGCAGGAAAAGATGTTGTCTGACATAGCGATGTCTTTAGTAAAGACATTCAGTTTTTCATTCGGCCTAATAAAATATGGACAACTCTCTGTTTTTGATACAACTGTTTTTGGCTAATCTCAAATGGGGTATCAGCGAATTTACTGATTTCAAAGAAAAAATCAAATCCACGAGATCTTTGTGTATCACTTAGTTTGTTTGCCAGTCTTTCTGTTCTTATGAAATGATTATCATTTCTGGTTCGTCCATGATGATAAATCCTAATTTCTTCAATTCTTTCAGATTATTGTTCTGGAGATTCTTGTTCCAATCGCTGACGATTCACGCTCATCCTGTAGTATCTTTCTTTAAGTTTTTCATTGTTTAGTCTTTCCCGTATCAGAACTAAGCGGCGCTCTCCTTCCTCTATTGATTCATTATCTCTAGCCTTTGTCTTATTAGACCAAGGGGATTAGCTCTTACTTGTGGCAAATCATTTAGCAGGCGTGACCTAATTATGTTTTGTCAACTTTCTTTTATCTCTGGAGTTTCATTTTTTTCTTCTCATACTTTATCTGGTTTTCATTTCAAGCAATGTTTTCGGTCCGGCCGCTCGGCACTCCCCCCACCACTAACGTCTGAGCTGTCTCTCTCTTACTCATTTCGTCTTATGGCGTTTCCGTGTTTGCGCTCACAAAATACGCTTTATCTCTGTTCATAGTGGCTCGATTATCAATTCATTTGCACAGTTGTAATCTGCATGGAATTGCGGGGATTATGGTATATGTTTTGTATTAAAATAATTATTTTTAGATTAAATTCAATACTTAAATCTACTAAATACGGTTTGTTGCTGCCACTTTTTAAATTAACGATAAAGCTGTTATCATTGCTAATGATTATTTAATTTAGCTTACAAACTTATGTTTTTAATGTTTGATGTTATGTTTTTCATTAATTTAACATGTACGAGAGGACCCATGCTGCTCCGCAGCGTAAAAATAAATGTTAAATCCTAGAAATAATCAACTTTATGATTTTTGGTTAAGTTTTACAGTATCATGAGCTTAACTGATTCAAACGATCAATATCTCAAATGAAAGCCTGCACTTTACTGATTATTTTTAGTCAAAAACATATAAAAATCATGAACAATACTGGAGCTATTGATTTTTAATCATAAAAAACCTCATGAAAATAGTTTTTATGTTGGTTCTTCAGCTTGCGTTTGCTTGAAACTCGTCCAATTAGAATAACTAATTGCTTATGTGAAATTTCACTGAAAGTTGTTAGACCAAAATATAGGATTATATAATTTTTGCTTGTGAAATGCATCTTAAATTAATGTGAGAATTCAAACACGAATAAAATTATGTTTTTGGTCGAGTAATACAAAGTAAGTATATAAATATATGCCGATGCTTGATGGCAAATCTGTGCGTGCAAATCTTCAATTTTATACCTCTATCATGAAAATCGGTCGCACAGCAGAGCCAAACGAACTCGGATAAGAAAACCCATTTTTTTATATATAAGATTTATCATTTTAGTAACAAAATATGCTTCATACAGCTAACTTAACTGAAGTTATATATTTGTTCAGTTGGAGTACCAAATGAAAGGAGCAACAAAAGGTTTAGAATAGGTTATGAAAAAAACATGTTATTTACGAATCAAACAATTTATTTATGACAAAAATATTTCAATACGATAAAATTGTAAACACATGTTTCCTATGTGTTTTCGAACAGTATTATTTTGTGTAACTTTTGCCAAAGACCGATTTCCCTTATGTCCTAAAATGTCCCTAATATGTTCCTAGACTTAAAATTAATTGTGGCAATAAATTGTATAATTTTGAAACTAAAAAAAAAACTATTGAGACTTAACTTCACTAATGTTTTTGTCATTAAATCAATTTTAATCGGGTCATTTGTTTGTAAATAAAAAGTAGTATGCATTTAGTAAATAAGATAGCCTTAGACCTCTGTATTTTAAGGGGCATAATAATAATAACTTGTGTAGGCCTACATGTTGCTCGAAATCGAGCAATTGCAAAGAAATAAAGTAGTTATTTGAAAACAAATAACTTATTTAAAAACTAATTAACGTCATATTTTCCGTTGAATTTAAAATACTCAACTCATAGATTACGTACCTAACTGAACCATATAATCAACATTTCTTGTAAATAATTTATCATTTTAAAAAGCTGATCTGGTGTTTCAGTGTATTCTACAAATGTTTCCCACATTTAGCCGCATTAGGTTGTCCATGTTGATCTTCGTCAATGATAATGTAGTCTGCATGGTACTACCCATTGTCGCCAGTACGTTTACAAATTTCAGTCATTTTTTTATAGCGATAACATTTTGTTTGCATTACTTAAGAACTGCCTGATTTTCTGCATAACCTCTCTATAAAAATTGTATTTGCTTCAATAAGCATTAATTGGCTAGTTACTGTTATAACGTAAGTTATATTTACCTGAAAAATTTTAGAATTGAAAGGCCTAATGTTGTTCAGATGGTTTTTTGTTTCCCTCAAATGTGAATGATGCAAATCCTTCAATGAAAGTTGTATTAAGGTTTCTTGGATGTAGTAATATTATGTTTAAATCACTTGACTTTTATGAAAACATATATTGAATCTCCTTGCCGTTCCAGTTTAATTCAGCCTTAGTGTTTTCCTTTGCCAATCATCATAAAGTTTAGTCCGTGTTTCCTACAAAATAGTAACACTTCGGCTAACAACATCCTTGTTCATTGTTTGTGGGAATCTTCATATTGTAAGTGTTCTTCATTATATAGGAGGTA